GATTTTGCTTGCATAGGAGATTAGTGCTATGGTCCTATAGTTGCTGTAATCTCGTGTCTCCTTTTTTGTGGATGGGGAAGTATATTGATCACTTCTAATCTGTTGGCCATCGTTTTGTTTCCCATATCTGTTGACATATGTTGGTTAGCACTAGAGTTGACTCTTTCAATGTGGATTGCAGCAGTTGTATTGGAATATCATCTGTTCCTGGAGTCTTGTTTTTTTGCCATTTCCCTTATTTCAGCTTCCACCTCAGTTTTTAGAATTTGGGGTTCATCTTCATATGTGTCCATGTCTGCAGAGTCCCGTCTGGCAGAGCTGTTTAAGGTGGTATGGGAGATGACGCAGGTTTACCTGCGCAGAACCCGTTGCTTAACCCAACAACAGCCTGCTGTGATGCATTTAACAACTTCTTTGCAGATAAAATCTCTCGGATAGGAGCCAACTTAGACAGCAGTATTTTGACAGAAACAACTGACGAGGTATCTAGCAATTCTGTTGATGTAAATTTACTGGGTCAATTTCAATCTGTGAGTACCGAGGACATGGACAAGCTACTTACCCTCTTGATCCTTGCCCTCTTGACCCTTGCCCTTCATGGCTGGCCATCCGGGGGGGGGGATGCCTTGATGGCGTTTCTTAAGGACATCATCAATGCATTCCTCAGGGAAAGGTGTGTTCCATCCTGCTTAAAGGATGCGGCGATTAGGCCGCTTCTGAAAAAACCTTCCCTCGAGCCCCTGGACATGAACAACTATAGGCCAGTCTCTATGTTACCATTCTTGAGTAAAGTGATCGAGAGGGCGGTTGCTCTTCAACTCCAAGTGGTCTTGGATGAAACCGACTATCTAGACCCATTTCAAACTGGCTTTAGGACGGGATTTGGAGTTGAGACTGCCATGGTTGCCTTGACTGACGACCTGCATCTGAGCATCGACAGGGGTAGTGTGACCCTGTTGGTGCTTTTAGACCTCTCAGCGGCTTTTGACATGATAGATCATAGCATCCTCTTGGATCACCTGAGCGGGTTAGGAATTGGAGGCACTGCATTGCAGTGGTTCCATTCCTTCCTCTTGGGCAGGTCCCAGAGGATGCTGTTCAGGGACAGTCGCTCCAGTAAAAAAGACCTTACTTGTGGCATTCCACAAAAAGACCTTACAGGCGCCATTCTGTCCCTGATGTTGTTTAATATCTATATGAAGCCACTGGGTGAGATTATTCGGAGTTATGGGGCTGGGTGTTATCAGTACGCTGATGACACCCAAATCTATTTCTCCCTGTCTCGATTGTCGGCCTCGATTTCCGATGGCGTCTCTCCTCTTAATGACTGTCTTAAGGCAGTAATGGGTCGGATGGGGAAAAACAGATTGAGATTAAATCCAGACAAAACGGAAGTACTCATGGTATCAGCCCCGAAACCAGGAATTGGGTTGCAACCTCAAGTCCTGGATGGGGTCACACTCTCCGCAAAGGATTGTGTTCACAGTCTGGGGGTGCTCCTTGATTTGTTGCTTCAGATGACTAGTCAGGTGAATGCGACGGTAAGGAGCGCCTGTTATTAGCTTTGGCTGATACACCAGCTGTGCCCTTTTCTGGAAGTAAGGGATCTCAAGACTGTTGTGCACATGCTGGTAACTTCTC